TTGGTGTTCAGTGCATCAAATCTATTCTTTAAATGGTCTCTAAATTCAGGAGGGATATATTCAAGGTCATATTTTGGCTCTCATGTACTTGTTTTAATTGCCTTCAACTTCAACTTGAATGTGCATATGAGCAGTTGATGGTCTGTTCCACAATCAGCTCCTGGCCTTGTTTGGGCCAAAGATATTGACCTTCTCCATTGCCTCTTGCCACAGATGTAGTCAGTCTGATTCCTGTGTATTCCATCTGGTGGAGTCAACATATATAGTCATCGCTTATGTTGTTGAAAAAAGGTATTTGCAATGAATAAGTTGTTGGTCTTGCAAAATTTTATTATGCGATCTCCAGTATTATTTCTGTTTCCAAGGCCATATTTTCCACCTATTGGTAACTCTTCATTTCCAACTTTTGCATTCCAGTCACCAGTGATAGTCAACATATCTTGATTGCGTGTTTGGTCAATTTCAGACTGCAGAAGTTGGTAGAAATCTTCAATTTCCTCATCTTTGGCTTTGGTGGTTGGTGTGTAAATTTGAATAACAGTTGTATCAACTGGTCTTCCTTGTAGGCATATGGATATTATCCTATCATTGACAGTATTGTACTTCAGGACAAATCTTAAAACAGTCTTTGTGATGATGAGTGCCGCACCATTCCTCTTTGTCATTTCCAGCATACTAGATCATATGGTTGTCTGATTCAAAATGGCTAAAACCAGTCCATTTCAGCTCACCAATGCCTAGAATATTGATCTTTATGCGTTCCATTTCATTTCTGACAACTTCCAATTTTCCTAGATTCATTCTTCATACATTCCATATTCTAATTATTAATGGATGTTTGCATCTGTTTCTACTCATTTTGAGTCATGCCACATCAGCTAATGGAGGTCTGGAAAGCTTTACTGTATTCATATCATTATGGTCATCATTACTCTGAGAAGTCAGCTCCTCCCCAGTCAAATTTTGAGTGTCTTCCAACCTGATGGGTTCATCTTCCAGCACTATATCGGACAATGTTTCAGGGCTATTCATAAAATTTTCCAGTAGTATATCAGACAGTGTTTCACTGGTATTCATAAGGTTTTCACTGGCCAATTGTTCAAGAAGTGGATGGCCTCCTCCTTCTTCCAAGTCTGTCTCAGCTCAGAAGCTCCACTGAAACATGCCCATCATGGGTATCCCTGCTGGCATTTTGTAACATGGTGGCATAGCCTCCAGCCTCATAGCAACACACAAGCCACCACAAGATGACAAACTGACAGACAAGTTTGTCTCCCTTAGTTGTTCTTAACCCCTCTGTACCTGCCTGCCTTGGGCAACGGCCTCAATATAGAGCCACCCCCAAGCAAAAAGCAGCTTTCAAGCCCTGGGCCTGCCTATCTCAGGCCCTGACCTTAATATATAATATATAACATAACCTTATCCTGCCTTATGAATACACATCATTGTCTTTGTTAGATGTCATCTACTCAGTTCTGACTCTATGTACAACTCTGTACAACATGGAGTATGTCCAGCTCTATGTCCAGCTTTCACATGCATATGAAGTAACTAAAAATACCATGGCTTGCATCAGCTGCACCTTAGTCCTCAAAGTGACAGCTTTATTTTTAACATTTTAAAGACGTCTTTTGCAGCAGATTTGCCCAATGTAATGCGTCATTTGATTTCTTGACTGCCACTTCCATGGGCTTTGATTTAGGATCCAAGTAAAAAGAAATCCTTGACGACATCAATATTTTCTCCATTTATCATAATGCTGCTTACTGGTCCAGTTGCAAGGATTTTTGTTTCCCTTAAGTTGAGGTGTAATCCATGCTGAAGACCGTAGTTTTTCATCTTCAACAACAAGTGCTTCAAGTCTTCCTTGCTTTCGGCAAGCCAGGCTGGATTTATAGCAACTCACAAATGGAGGATAATCACATCAGATGATATTATGGGGTATGACTACATCATTACTGCCAAACTACCTCATTACATTAACTGCTAATCCACTGAGAATCATGGCCTAGCCAAGTTGACACATGCTTTTCAGGGTCACAATAAATTCATGATACCTTATTTTCCTTCCTTAGGCTTGCTAACCTTCTTTCTCTGCTAGGTTGCAGTGAATTGACATTATCTGGGAAATAAGCCCAAAAGATGATTACTTTAATCTTTTTGCTAAAATAAAACTCTAGCAAGAAATCTGCACCAGCATAGAAGAAAAAAACAAAAGAAAACAAAAACTAATATAAATGATTATAAAAATAGCAGTAATAACATTTTCAACTCCTATGAAATTAACAGAAGCTCTGGTAGCATAGTGTTTAAGGCACTTGACTGCTAACCAGAAAGCTGGTGGTTCAAACTCACCAGCCACTCCTCGGAAGGAAGGTTGGGCAATCTACTTCCGTAGTGATACCACCTTGGAAACCCACGGAGGGGTCGCTATGAGTCAGGGCCAACTCAATGGCACATAATAACAACAACATAGAATTAATTCTACTTATTGATATG